TCTCCTTTTCTGTCTCTGCCCTTCCCCTGCTCAGTACTTTGAGAAATCAGAAAAGAACATGCTATTGGACCTAGAAGAAAGAGTCCAAGGATGACGTGATGCTGAGAGTTGGAAGGGCCCCTTTTGGTATATGAAGGGGCCCTTCATATATCAAATATCATATATGATATATATGAAGTCACAAACGTTTCAAAGTAACTTGCCCAAGGTCTTTTCACTGAGTCAAGATGGAGCTACCACTGGCACCCAAGCCCCTGGCACCTGGTCCCATGAACTGCTGGCTCTGTTCTAGAGGAGGAACCAGCATCCTGGCTCTCCCTCAGACGTTTTGGGAGTGTGTGAGATTGTGACAACAAATGGCTATGGGCTTTTTGGTCAGATTGAACACCACCCCCCGTCCCCTAATAAAATATTATATTCAATACTTGTTCTTAGAAGCCAAATTAATGTTTACATTTGAGTCCACACATCACCCACGAGGGGGAGCCCTTTGTACCTTCAGTGTTTCTGAGCAGCGTGCTGTCCTCAGCAATGCTGTTGGGTACCAAGAGCCCGCGTCAGTGCAGTGAAAAGGCTGGCAGGGCAGGAGATCCTTGGCCACCCCCAGAAATACATCACATTGGCAACCTTGAGTGTGAGCAGGTGTTTGGCAGAGAGGGTAGAAGCCTAGCAAGAGGCTGACCCTGCTGATGAGAACAGAGCTGTCTAGTTTGGTGCAATGGCCTCTCGGTCTCAAGACGTTTAGAATGGGGATTTGCCCAGGGCCCACACGTGCGCTCCTTTGATCCCCCATCCCCTTCGTCCTTCGGCTGCTGGCTTTGACCTTACCCGTGGTGCCATTTACCCCCCTCCCTTCCCCCTGGGGTTCCCCTGCGGGCAGCCAAGCCCTGCCCCTTAGTATAGGCGTCTGAGACCTACCCTTGGTCATAGGAAATGCAGTCAAAGTGGAATACAATTCGATAAAAAGAGGTAAGTGTTTCAATCCTCAGAAGGGGTGGCATCAGAAAGGGCTTCACGAAAGAAGAGTCATTTGAGCTGAATCTTGAAGTAGGATTTGGGGAAGTTAAGAAAGACATTCTAGACTCTAGAGAGAACAAGTGAAAAGAAGATGTGAAAGTGCCTGGTAGCTCCTCAGAATATTAGAACCGGTGTGGCTGGAGCAGAGAATGTGGGATAAGGTGACAAGGGGTGACCGTGACAATAAGTTGGGACCAGATTGTGGAGGGTATTAGTCAAAGGTCAGGAGCTGGCAGCTGAAGTTGAAGGAATGGAGACCCATTCCAGGGTTTTAAACAGGAGGCTCATATGATCACCTTTGAGTCTTGAGAAGATCATGTGAGTGAGGGTGACAAGCTGAGATTCCTTCGGGGATCCTGCTGTAGGTGGGGAGTCATTTGAAAAGGCTTTTCAGGGGGTACAAGTGGAAGAGGACTGACTACATGAAGCAAGCTGGGAAGCCCAGAGAAGTCCAATGATTGTTCTCAGTTCACACAGCTAATGGCAGAACCTGGAATTAAACCCACTTTAACGCTAAAAGCAGGCGACAAGCCTGCCATCTAAAGATTGTTTCATGGCCATTCTCAGCCACCCCACAGATTCTGTTTTGTAGATGAGGGTCAGCTGAGGGCCTGAGAAGTCAGTCTCCACTCAGGTGGCAAAATGAAACAAGAAACTGGCATCTGAACGGGCCAAGTGAAGACAAATCAGTTCACTAAGCATTTGCTGAGCGCCTACTACACGCCCTGGACCCTTTCTTCAAGGAGCTCACAGTCTGGAAGGGACATACACAGAAAAAAACTCCAAACAAGGCAGACAGACACGTGCTAGGATGGAAGGATGGGCAAAGGTCCCCAGGAACCAGAGGAGAGTGTAGTTTCAGCTGAATTGGTTCCATACCCTGTGGAATCCCGGACAGGAGCCTGAATGATGGAATTAGCGTTGGAGGAGGAAAAGAGCTTCTATGGAAGAGATTTGATACTATAGCAAGGCCTGGCCTGGAGCCCAGATCTTTTCTGTTTCTTCTGCTTCTTGGCCCTATAGGCGTACTTGTGCTGGGCCGAGCCATCAGACCGACACGGGCACCAGGACAGCTCAGGGAACCTGGAGTAGAAGTGTTCCTGGGTCCTTCACTTGGCATCAGCCTGGCTTGCTTGCCTGAGGGTGGGGTCAGGGTCAGAGAGGGCTGAGGGCTGAGGAGATGGCACTATGGGAAGAGCTACTTCTGTCCAAGTTGCTGGGAGCTTTTGAGGCCCAATCAGGATGTGACTCCAGGAAGACCCTTGTCACTGTTCCCTGTCTGAGAATGTCTTCCTGCCCATCCCTGGCCGGAGTGGGTTAAGTAAGACTCTGTGTCTGGCTCGCTCTGGCTGAAGTGTAAGATCAGAGAGCTGGATCCCTGTCAGTACTCACACATTTAAGTACCATGGGCTGGCCATATACAACAGCCATGCTAATACCTGTTTCATGGAACAATGGTGACCATCACATGAGCCTGCAGATCATGGATAAAAGCAACATTATGAAAATGTATGTTCTTTTTTTTTTTTTTTTCTTTTTTTTTTTTGTATGTTCTTTTTCACAGTAAAGAAAACAATCAACAAAATGGAAAAAAAAAACCAAAAAAAAAAACTATGGAATGGGAGAAATGATTTGCAAACAATTTATCTGATAAAGGGTTAACATCCAAAATATGTAAGGAACTCATACAACTCAATAGCAAAAAAGCAACCTGATTAAAAAGTGGGCAAGGGCTTCCCTGGTGGCGCAGTGGTTGAGAGTCCGCCTGCTGATGCAGGGGACACGGGTTCGTGCCTCGGTCCGGGAAGATCCCACATGCCACGGAGCGGCTGGGCCCGTGAGCCATGGCCACTGAGCCTGCGCGTCCGGAGCCTGTGCTCTGCAACAGGAGAGGCCACAACAGTGAGAGGCCCGCATACCACAAAAAAAAAAAAAAAAAATGGGCAAGGAACCTGAATAGACATATTTCTAAAGAAGAAATACAAATGGCCAACAGGTACATGAAAAGGTGTTCAGCATCACTAATCATCAGGGAAATGCAAATCAAAACCACAATGAGGGCTTCCCTGGTGGCGCAGTGGTTGAGAGTCCACCTGCCGATGCAGGGGACGTGGGTTTGTGCCCCGGTCCGGGAGGATCCCACATGCCGTGGAGCGGGTGGGCCTGTGAGCCATGGCCGCTGAGCCTGTGCGTCCGGAGCCTGTGCTCCGCAACAGGAGAGGCCACAACAGTGAGAGGCCCGCGTACCGCAAAAAAAAAAAAAAAAAAAACACCACAATGAGATAGCACTTCACACCTGTTAGGATGGCTATTCTCATTAAGACAAGAGATGAGTATCTGTGAGGATGTAGAGAAAAGGGAACCCTTGTACACTGTTGGTGGGAATGTAAATTGGTACAGTCACTATGGAATACAGTATGGAGTTCCTCAAACAATTAAAAATAGAACTACCATATGATCCAGCAATTCCACTTCTGGAATATATATCCAAAGGAAATGAAATCAGTGTATTAAAGAGCTATCTGCATTCCCATGTTCATTGCAGCATTATTTACAATAGCCAAGATATGGAAACAACTGAAAGTGTCTGTTGATGGCTGAATGGAGAAAGAACATTTCACACACACACACACTGGAATATTATTTTACCATAAAAAAGAAGGAAATTCTGCCATTTGCAGCAACGTGGATGAACCTGGAGGACATTATGCTAAGTGAAATAAGTCAGACACAGAAAGACAAATACTGTATGATTTCACTTATCTGTGGAATCTAAAAAAGTCAAATTCATAGAACCAGACAGTAGAACAGTGGTCGCCAGGGGCTGGAAGGTGGGAGAAATGGGGAGATGTTGGTCAAAGGGTAAAACTTTCAGTTATAAGATGAATAAGTCCTGGAGATATAATGTACACTTAATAATACTGTATTGTATACTTGAAATTTGCCAACAGAGTAGATCTTTTTTTAAAAATTTATTTTATTGATGTATAGTTGATTTACAATGTTGTGTTAATTTCTGCTGTACAGCAAAGTGATTCAGTTATACATATATGTACATTCTTTTGCATATTCTTTTCCATTATGGTTTATCACAGGATATTGAATATAGTTCCCTGTGCTATACAGTAGGACCTTGTTGTTTACACACCTACATATAATAGTTTGAATCTGCTAATCCCAAACTCCCATTCCATCCGTCTCTCATCCCCCTGCCCCCTTGGCAACGATAAGTCTGTTCTCTATGTCTGTGAGTCTATTTCCAATAGAGTAGATCTTAAATGTTCTCACCACACACACACAAAAACAGTAACTCTGTGAGGTGATGGATGTATTAACTAACTTGATTGTGGTAAGCATTTCCCAATGCATATGTATATTAAACTATCATATTGTACATCTTTAAAAAATCATATTGTATACTAAATATATAAAAGTTTTATTTGTCAATCATATCTCAGGAAAGCTGGCGAGAAAATAAAAACTATCAGAAAATGTGTGTTCATTATTAGGAGTCTATCCCTGAACACAGCTGAGAGGCTGGAATTTTACAGTGTAAGGAGTTTTCAATTCTGCGGGAACTCGGAGGCTTAGGTGAGTTGGCAATTGAGAGAAATTACTAGAAAAAAGGGGAGAGACTGAAAGAAAGGTCCAGCACTTTCCCAGACTGCACCTCACTCGGCAGTGTGCTGCGGTGTGACAGGTATGGGCTTAGGATTCAGACCAAATCAAGTATCTGCATCCTGCCTTTCCCTCATTCAACACGTATCTGAGGGTCTGTCATGTTCCAGGAAATGACTCGCTGGGTGACCTTAGGGAGATAACTTATTTATTTATTTATTTAATTTATTTTTTTGCGGTACGCGGACCTCTCACTGTTGTGACCTCTCCCGTTGCGGAGCACAGGCTCCGGACGCGCAGGCTCAGCAGCCATGGCTCACGGGCCCAGCCGCTCCGCGGCATGTGGGATCTTCCCAGACCGGGCCACGAACCCGCGTCCCCTGCATTGGCAGGCGGACTCCCAACCATTGCGCCACCAGGGAAGCCCTAGACAACTTTTTTGAACTTCATTTTTTTCATCAGGAAAACTAAAAGTAACACACACCTCATCGGGGCTGTTTCAAAAATGAAATGAAATAGATAAGATGTAAATCATATATTCAGAACATCATCTCTGTATTTGAGCCTGTAGAGCACTAGGTCCCTGAGTTTCCACCCCAACTTGCTTCCCGATAAGACTGGGCAGCCCTGGCCCACACTTGGGCTGGGGCAGTGGATTGGCACCCAGCTTGTTTTGTCTCATGCAGAAGCATCTGCCAGGCATCCAGCACTGCCACCAGCTGGAGCAGAGAGTGGAAGCAGAAACGGCGTCTCCCAAGGCTGACTTAGCATGATCTGGACTGGTTAGTTGAGGGAAGCAGAAGACACTCAAGTACCTAGTGGACCATCAAACTCATGCTGTTTGTCTCAGGGCAGTGTTTCCACCTCTCCTTAACTACCAGTAGCTAAGGTCTCTTCAGATGTCCTGTCTGCAGAGGGAATGGGCAAAGATTGCTTTCTCTTTGCTGCTGAAGGAACTTGTGCTCTATTTCTTCCACAGAAGAAACAGAATGAAGATGGTTCTTTCCCAGGAACCATCTGGGCTCACGCAGCCCTTCTCCTTGGGAAGGACTCCCTTAAAAATGATTCCAGGCATCCTGCCTTTCTCCCACCTATGGCTCATCCCCAGTCCTTCATCACAAGCAGCTAAAACTGGTACTGACCTGATTAAGCAGAAGAGGAATTAATTTATTAAAAGGACATTGGCAGGGCTAAGGAACCAGGGGCTGACCTGGGGTGAAGCTTCCAGGAATGCTATCCAGAACCATGCGGCAGAAGCAGCCTGACGGGGAGGCTGTTGATGCTGCCATGTGTGTGCTGCCAGGAGCCCACCTGCCTGTGACTGTCCGTGTGGCCAGTCAAATGCTGCTGGCTGCGTTGGGCACGCAACCTTACCGCCACAGCTGACCCCCAAAGCAAGTCAGATGCCTCCGGTACTTACCCTTGAGAAACTGGTGGCGGTGCGTTCTCTTTCCTCATGTTTGTCCCCTGCAACTTAGTCCTGTCCTGGTGCCCCAACCAGTGAACTCCACACCACAAGCTTGTGACCCAAGTTTTCTAGCTTCCATCTGGAAAAAAACAAAACTCCTAAAGTGGCAAGTTTTCCAAGCATGAAAACGTGTCAAAAATAACCTCCCAAAGTGTGAAGTGTCCACTTTGTATGCTCTCCATGGGCTCTCATCATCTTCCTAGTCCTGTCTCTTCCCACCTGGTGGACTCAGGCCCTGGACCCTGTGTTAGAGCTGTGCCTGAGATGTTCTGCAGGGAAACATGAACCACGAGGGGCACAAGGGAATTCAGATGGGCCCCTTTGGACAGTGAGAAACAAGAGGATGTTGCCTGGGCTTGGGAACCCAAGACTTGGTTAGGGGAAGGGTGCCAGGGTGCGGAAGCCCTTTATTAAGCCCCTTCTTAACTAGACTCATAAGGTGTTAGGCCTGGGAAGGCCTTGGAGGAGCATCTAGTGAGGATCACAAATTCAAATGCCTGAAACGAGAAGCCAGGCAGGTAATAATGAGTGAAGCAGGCTTAGCAAAGGACTCCAGGGGATGGTCGCTCTGTAGAGAATGCCATTTTAGACATTAAAATTTTAAACTTTTAAAAAGGCGTGCCAATGTTGATAAGAGTCTGAAAGTGGTTTGCCTGGGTCGGAGTGAGGATGGGAAGTTGGCCAGCAGGAGCATAAGGGAACTTTCTGGGGCGATGGAAATGTTCTGCATCTTGCTTTGGGTGCTGGTGGCTTGGTGTATACATTCATCAAATTAACTTCATCAAATAAATACCTGAGATCTGTGCGTTTTGTCATATTTTAATTATACCTCAAGTTTTTACTTTTGCTTGGGCAAATTAATAACGTCTATCTATAAAGTGATTTGGCACTCAGGCTACCTATTTGCAAACTTCTGCTCCAATCTGACGTCTTTATCTTACAGCTGAGGCATCAGAGCCCCTGAGGGGGTAAGTGGTTTTCCCAAGTGCGCGGAAGAATCCTGACTGTCCAGAGATGGCCTGCAACTCCGCGGCCAAGAGTAGGATGACTGCCGCGTGGTCCAGCCGGCTGCCTCTCCGAGCAGACTCACTTCCCTGCCTTTGGAGTGGTGCCTGCACGCAGCGATGCTAACAGAGCCACTCCGCTGGCGGTCCCCAGAGGCAGGACAGACGTCTGCACCCGCCGGAAAGTGAGACGGTCATCTAGAGGCGCCGAGAGGAGCGGAAGTGGATGGAGCGCCAGGCCCCAGGGAGCACGGGCCAGGCGTGCAGATAAATCACGGACAGTAGCTGCACTGACCGTTCGGGATCGGCACTGAGTGCCAAATGCCGACGCAGGCAGCCAAGTTCTGGGAAAAGAAATCCGATCCGGGCGCGGCAGCGGTGGTACAAAGTGAGACCCAGCAGAGCAGGCGGGGAGGGGCTGACAGCCCCGATGGAGCCTCCTCTCGGGGCGGGCGCTCGGGCACTGGCTGAAGTCTTACCTGGTCCCCGCCCTGCCTGAGAAGGTACAGGCGTCTCCGCTCTACAGGAGAGAAAACTGAGGCTCACCGCAGCTTCACGGAGTCATGTAAGGACTGAGGTGGGATTCCAAGCCCGGTCATCTGCTCTCCCCCACCCAGAGCGAGTAGGGATCTGCAGCAGTGACTCCAAGCCCGTCACAAAGCAGACGTGTTCCCGGTTTCGATGTGGGCGCTGCAACCGAGAGGAAACCCGGGGGAGAAATGGGTACGCGGGGTGGGGGTGGGGAAGTGCTGGGGCCTAGTCTCGGGGCCGCGCGACCCGCCGGGACCTTCCGGACGCACGGAGCCCGGCCTTACCGCCGGCGCCCGCACTGATTGGCGCTCGCGGCCGGCCTCCAGCTAGCTCACCTGCCCCGCCCAGCCAATCGGGGCCACCAGAATTGGGGCTGTCTCAGGGAGGGGGGTGGGCGATGCTGCTGGCTGGAGGCTGAGCCTCCCTCCCCGCCGAGTTCCCGCCTGGCCCGGCGCAGCCCCGAGCCCTAGCCGCAGGCTGCGTGCCCCTCGCCAGTTGCCGCGGCGCTCCGGGCTCCGCGCGCTTTAACGCAGCAGCTCTCGGTTGGAGCCGCCTCGCGTCTCCGCCGGCTGCGACGCGCCCCGACGGCGCCCGGAGGCGCCTGCCGACGCCGACGCTCCGCAGCCTCCCGCCGCGCCCGCCCTCGCCCGGAGCCCCGCATCCGTGCCGGCCCCGGGGAGCGGGTGGGCCCGGCTGGGGCAGCCCCGCTGAAGCAGGATGTTCACGTCCAAATCCAACTCGGTGTCGCCCTCGCCGTCTCTGGAGCAGGCTGACTCGGACGCGCTGGACATCAGCACCAAAGTGCAGCTCTATGGTGTGCTGTGGAAGCGGCCCTTCGGGAGGCCGTCGGCCAAGTGGTCCCGACGGTGAGTGCCCCTGCCGCGCCCGGTGAGGACCGCCGGGGGAGGGAGCCAGGGCCGAAGGACCCCCTACCAAACCCTTCATTACCGTCCTACCTCTGCCTTCCTTTGTGACCTTGGCCTCGGCCCATTTCACTCTACGCTGGCTCCTCCTGGAAGATGTGGATCCTAGCCTGGGCTGGGTCATCTCTGCCCGAGGCTGGTCGAGCTGGGGTGGGACCGCTGAGTTCTCTGCAGAATGGATTTAAGTCGGGTTGGGGAGAGTGGGTGTGGGCTGAAGAGCGTGGCCGTGGTAGGAGCCCAGCTGGGTCAGATTGGGCCATACTCTGCTGCGGAGGAAGAAGCCCTGTCTCCAGCCAAAGATAGCCTCCTGGGGGCCCCACTGGGTTCCATCATCTTCACAACTCCCCTGCTCCAGGCTTCTAGAAGTGCACTTAAGGTGGGACATGGGTGTCCTACATCCCACCCCCCACTTCCGCCTACCCCCAGCTGGTACATACACTAAGAGAGCTTCTGAAAGGCACCGGCCAGGAGAAGGGCCTAGAAGGCTCTGTGCCCACCCCTGGAGGAGTGATGCTAGGAACCCCTCCAACTGTCCCTTGAAATGCATATATTTCAAGGGAGATGGGGCAGAGACTGAGGAAAGTGGGGGAAAGGATGGACTGGTCCTGTTAGAAGGATGGATCCCTTGGAAGGAGTGGTTGGGAAGGTCAGAGCAGCCTGGGTCTTTCAGCATCAGCTTCCTGGTCCCAACTCAGAGGCCACACTCCCCAGACATCAGTAGCTATTTTCCACTCATAAATGAGCCTGGAAGGTATTGGAGGAAGGGGGAGTTCACAGCCCTGAATTTGCAGGAAGCTCCCAATGCTGGTTTCAGGAGCAATGGGACACCTTCTGGACAAGCCCATCTCAGTTCTGAGGTTTTCTATGGAATGGTCTAGTGAACTCAGACCCTGATTGGCCCCTCCCTGGAGGCATGATCCTGCCCAGGAAACTAGGATTGTGTCTAGATGCCCCTTCCCAACCCACACTATGAGTCTGCCCCTGAGCAGGGGGGGCTTCATATGTTCCCAGGAACACAGTTCACGGAGACATGGTAGTGGTTGGTTCTGATGTTCTGTTTTGATGAATAATTTAATATGTCTGCAAGACCACAGAACAAACGGAGCTGTAGACGGTGTTTCACATTTTACATACCTGGTTTCACATACTTTTGTTAGTTCTGCTGGATTTTACTCTAGGGTTTAATGGGATGTAGGCTCCTTGAGTTCCTCCAAAGTTCAGCTTATCTCTGATCCCCTGAATGGAGGCCTGGGGCAGCATGGAGAGCATCTTGTGAGGGGTTTCCAGGGCTGTGCTGTCTGAGCTGCAGTTCCCGAGCGCCAGGAGCAAGCTTGTCTCTACCAGGGCGCCCGAGTGGTGATGGGAAGGCCGCTTATAAATTTAAGAACCATTAGCAGAGTGGCCCCATCACCACTTCTACCTCAGCTGCTCCAGGCAGCCCACACTCCTCCACTGGGTCTGGCTGCTGTCCTTGGTATTACCTCCGGACATCCAAGATGTCTCTTTCCAGGCATTTTCACCTGATTGCATCCCTAGTAAATGCTAGGGGTCTGCAACCCTCAGGTGTGGGGACCTGGACCCTGCAGCTACAGTTGATTCCAGGGCTGGGAGGTGTTGGGGACAAAAGCTCCAGCTAAAAGCACAGTGATGGAGCCAAGGGGGCCTTGGAGAGCTGTAGTGCCCCCACCCCAAGGAGCTCCACCAGTAACCCCTACAGCCACTCAGAAACCGTCCAGTCCAAGTCAGAGCAGCGTACATGCCCTGCAAAGTCAAGCCCTCCAGCCCCCTTCCAAGGAGACTGTCACTTCTGTTCCCTTCCTTTGTGGGAACTCTGGAGTTGCCACTGTGAAAAGACTCCCCCTGCCCACTCTAGGCCTCTGTCCATGTTCACAGTTCTGGGAACACACCAGACACACACACGCACACACACACACACGCACACGCACACACACACACACACACAAACACACACACGATTTAGCCTTGGATCAGCAACAGCCAGCCAGAGAGGGTCTGGGATGGGGGAGGCACGATGCTAAGCTTAGCTCCCTTTCAACGCCCAGCAGGGGCCCCTGGGTCCCAGTTCCCCATCTGCGAAGTGCAGTCTGTGGACTCCAGCTAATTAGCAGCCGCAGGAAGGCCTGGGAAGGGGCCGCTCAGGCCCGCCGCTGCAGAGCCTTGCCATTAGGGCGATCGATGCCCTGGGAGGGGGACAGCTAAGAGGAGGGGCCCTGGAAAGGCTCCCAAGCCACATAAATAACGAACGGGCAGGATGGCGGCGGCTGTGGCCAGCTGGGTTCTGTAAAACCTCTTCCACTCAGGGTGTGTTTCAGGGCTGTGCCTCCAGCTCCTGGTGCCCCAGCAGCCCTGCCCTTCCCGGGGCGGGAAGGTGCCTTTGAGCTGAAGGGTCAGCTTTTTTTCCATGAACAACGAAAAGAGAAAGGAATCAAAAACATTCCTTAGCAGAGATAAGAGGATCTGGAAGAGGTGTCTAGAGGGCAAGGTGGCTGACTCTGTCCTCCCCCTAACCTGTGAGCAGTGGAGATGCGGGTGCTCAGAGACAAGGAGGAAGGGAGTAGAGCATCTCTGCCTTGGCTGGTGTCAGCCCCGTGGTAGGGCTGGTCCAGCAGACAGGCCAGCTCTCTCTCAGGGCTTCATACTTTCCCCGGCATTCCAGTCCCTCTCCCAAATCCCTCCCAACACCTCCCAAGGCTGGAGCCCCTGATGAGGCGGGCCCAGCCCATTCCTTCCTGCAGCAGGAGCGTCCACACTCCCGTCCCTCCTCTCCCAGCCCCCCAGGTGTAAGGTGACTAGTGGGCCCTGAGCCTAGCCCAGCAGCAGCTCACTCTTGGGGAACATCGGTGGGTCCTGCCTCAGGGAGCTGAGACTCACGGTGTCCACGGAGTGCCAGGGAAACCATGGAGACAGTGGCCTGATTTCCCAAATCTCAGGCCACAACCTGCGCAGGTGTGGAGAGGTGATCTGCGCAGTTAGTGGTCATCATACCAAAAAGACTCGTGGAGACTTTCTTCACACAGAGATTTGGGTCCGGGAGTTTCATCTTTGGCTCTGAGCGCCGCTTCCTAAAGGTGACACTGCGGTACTGAGCTGTCCCAAAGGGCTGAGGGGAAGAGCTAGCATATCACCTCCATGCGCTAGGCTCTGCCTCACGCTAGTGACACTGGGATTTGGTCTCACTTTCTGGCTCATGTAGTGTTTCTCACAGCTGACTGGGAGGTGTCCCCCCAGCACAGCTGCAACATTTCTGCTTGTTCTGTCCCAGCTGGAGGGCGCCCGCAGGCCCCTCTTTTTCTAATCAACTTGTGTTCTCCAAACTTCTTTTAGAAGGACAGCATTTGGTGGTAGGCAGTGGCTAGGTGGCAGCGCAGGGATCTCCCCAGACCCCTCTGTCCATCGCACCCTGCCCCTTCTGAGGTGGTGGTATCGAGGTTACACGGAGTCCTTAGCTTAAGGAGATGGGTACGCTCTCCGGATCACAGCACAGCTGTAAGATGAAATTAACACCCATTATTTCAGGCTTCACTGCGGTCCTGTGCTGATTCGCCTGCACCAAAGTTAAAGGAGTTGGTTGTGCCGACAAGACACACTTCTTCCTCTCCCCGCCCTCCCAGGGAGCTGGCAGTGGAGGCTGTTGATGGCCTGTTTGAAAATGGGGGCCAGAACCCTTTCAGGCAATTCAACTTCCTTATGTCCAAGACTTGGAAATATAAAGCTGTTTCTTTTGAGAGCAGCTGTGGCCGTTGGTGGCAGGTGAACCCATGCTTAGAGGCAGGACCTCTGAGTTCCAGTCCCAGCTCTGCCGGTGACCAGCGCATGACTCAGGCCGAGGCATGGCTGTGTCACATCTCGCTGGCTGGCAGTGTCTCATCCACAGAATGGAAACGGATCAAATTGTGGCTTTTAAACTCTGTTCCATGGTGATCCTACAAGTGCCTCAACTCCACCACAGCGGGGCGGGGAGAGAAGGCGGGGCTCCAAGGCCCCTCCCACTTCACCCAGTGCCTTTGCACGGTTACCTGCTTGACCTAGTAAGCTCGTCTTCACTGTGTTGTTTGAAGGATCCTCACATGTTTTGGAGCCCCTTGGACTTGATGATCTCTTCCTAAACCCTAACTTGTCATCACCCATGTATCAATACGTCACAGGCAGGATTCCTCCTGTCCTGTCATCTCAGACCTAGAGCCAGGCAAGCGGCAGAGGCCAGGATGAGCATCCCCCGAGCATACAAGGCCACCCGGAAAGAATGAAAAGGGACACGCACCGAGGGC